ATCATTTATTTGCAAACTAAAATCAATGAAAATTACCTCTCGATAGGAAATTGCTGAAAAAAATTATGCTACATCCAACTTCGTGAATACCCTGCACCCACTGAAAACAGTGAGGTGGAATGGATTAACTTATATAATGAGCTCCCAGACACTGGACTGCTTTGTTTTTAGTGACTGTCTTTGGAGAGGACTAGAATTGAATGAGGAAGATAGACACACACATGCACTTTTTTTTAACCCACAGATGCAGAATATTTTGTTGCATGGATGTACATGACTTTTTTCCAACATTTTATGAAAATGTTCAAAATACAGGAAATTTGAAAGATTTGTACAGTGAACACCCATATACCTGCCATCTAAATTCTACAATTATTATTGTTATATTTGCTATTTAGCCATCTGTTGGTCTGTAGTCTTTGATGCATTCCAAAGTAAATTGCACACATCTTTACATTTCACCCCTGTGTCAGCATTGTATCACTAGAGTTCAGTATTCGGTTTTTGTCCTTAAAGTAGATAATTTTTTAATCTGTCAAGGGAAAGGTTTCCGAAAAGCTTTGCTTAAAAGAGCTCAGTATAGGAGAGTACAGTACAGCATGACAGAACTAAATGAGATCAGGATCTGGAGTCTCACAAACGAACTCCCTGCCTATTTGAATCTAGGGTCTGCCCCTCACTGCTGGTGGTACCTTTACCTTTCTGAGCCAGCATGTTTCATCCATGAAAAGGGCTAGGATTGTTGTGAGGATTTAAGAAGCTATAAAGTAACCAGCACAGAGTAGGTGTTCAGCAACTTGGAGATCACATCTCAAACTACTTCACGGCATGTGGGTGGCCCGTAAGAGGTGACTGAAACCTCCGAAATGGTCTTTCCCCTTCAGAGCGCTCTGCTATTTGGTCCTGAAGCAGTACAAGGAAGCAGTGAAGGACTGCACAGAAGCCCTCAAGCTGGATGGAAAGAATGTGAAGGCGTTCTACAGACGGGCTCAAGCCCACAAGGCACTCAAGGTAAGAAAAAATCCTGGCCAAAAGGTCTCAACATAGCTACAGAGATTTATGTCAGCGGTGGCATTTATGGGGTGTATCCAAGCTGAGGCAGTATCTGCAGCTTTTCTGTCTCATCCTGGGCCCAGGTTAACTTAGGGCAGGCCTATCTGTGGGCTGAGGGTTTGAAAACACTTCGCTGCCTCAGCAGCTATTCCCACCCCAGTCGGGGAACCTTCCCCACACTCCTGTCCTTGATTTTATTAGGACTATAAATCCAGCTTTGCAGACATCAGCAACCTCCTACAGATTGAGCCCAGGAACGGTCCTGCACAGAAGTTACGGCAGGAAATAAAGCAGAGCCTACACTAAAAACCCAGCAGGGCAGCCGGAAACTCCTGCCTGACCTTACCAGAGACGCCGCGGGCCACCTGCTCTGTGCCTGCGCCTGAAACCCAGCATGCCCCAAGTGAGCTCTGAAGCCCCTTCCTCAGCCCCTTGATGGCCTCCCACCCCAGAAGAGGCTTTGCTTGTTCAAATTAAGCTCAGTGTAGTCATACACAGACATCGTTTCGCCAGAAAAGTCCCCACTAGAGCTAAGCGTGAAGCTGAAGCCCTGTCCCCATTCCCCCCAGCTCAGCTAGCTGATCACACCAAAAGATCCTCATCAGCAAAGCATTTGGCTTTGTCCTGCCCAAGCAAGCTCCGGACTGAGTGTGGCCCATGTAGTTTCCCCAGACCCCACCTCACTGCAGTTAATCTGAACAGCCTGAGCTTCTGGGCAGGGTGGGAGGGGGTTGGGGGACGGTAATAAACCCAAGGCCCTGATGCAAAGCAGTCTGTTGAGCTGGTTCTCCAGGGCTGCAGTCTCTCTAGGTGTGCAGCTGCTGTTCCTTTCCTGTCCTTGCACAGTCTCCTGTGTCTGAGCCCCAGTGCCTTTTGTTTGGGCCATCCTTTGGTGGGAAGGCAGAGCCCTGACCCCTGGATGTCTGTCCATGACTCCGTGCTGCTGCCTTCTGCAGAGAGGCACCTAAGCTGTTTTGAGTCCAGTGATTGTGGCCACTCCTCTTAGAGGCAGGATGGAGAGAGAGGCCTCCTTGGTCAGTGTCCATGCTTTCTGGGCAGGGACTTGGCTTTTTGTTCCAACAGTGGCCTTCTCCAGGCCTCATAGTTCTTTGTAATATGTTGAAGTTAATTTGAACTGACTGCTTTTGTTGAACTGTGTGTTTAAGCTGTTGTATTAAAAGGCTTTCTTCTACATAAATGTCTGCTGTGCTTTCATTTCTGCCTTTTCAGCTTTGCACCTGGAACTTTCTAGTAATGATAAAAGCTATTGCTTACTGGGCATTCATTCATTTGTTGAACAAATATATTGAAATGTCTGGATGGGCCAGGCACTGCAAATAGTGCTAGGGAGACAGCAGTGAATAGAGATAGCCCCTGGTCTCAGAGGGCTGGCAGCCTAGTGGGAAGGCAAGAAGTTAATCAGACAACCACATATATGTAAAATTGCAGCTTGCCTAAGTGTTGTGAAGTGGTTTTCAGTGATTTCCCTGCCCAAAAGGGGAAATTCGATGCAGTGGAGGGAAGGGGGTCCCTGAGTAAGTAAAGCTTGAATTGAGTTCCAAACAGCGATGTAACTAGTGAAGAGGGGAGGGAAAAGCATCGTGGACAGACGGCATGTGTAAGGCCCTCACTGGGAGCACAGCCAGTGAGTACAGGGACCTAAAAGGGCCGATCAAGTTCACAAAACATGGGATGCAGTGAGGCTGGAGAGTGCTTTAGGACCTAGCCAGAATCAAGTGCTGCCTTGTTTTCCTGGGCTGGTTTTCATGCTATGGAAGTGGAGTTTCAGGATTCCACAGAGCAGAGCAGACAAAGGGTTTTTTGATTATCCCTTGGCTCCCATCACATAGCGCTAAGCAGCACTCAGCATGGCACCTCTGAGCTCTCTTAAGGATGACTCTGTTGTCTGAGCCATCACAAACATCCAGGCTGAAGCAGAGTTTAGAGTCAGACAAACCTCATGGGCACCATCAAGGGACAGTTTCAAAGTGGGGCACTGTACCCCTTTTATTGCCTCATAAGCAAGCAGGACTGATGTGAGTCAGGTTTCGTGACGTCCACTCACAACTGATTTCTATCATTCTGAGCTCAGCTCTAGAAGGCAAGCAACTTGATATGCTAGTAAAGACACAGGGTAGGGCTGGCACAACCTGTAGAGGCTACTTGTTTTGCATTTCAGAAAGTTCTGATGAATACAACATGATAAGCTTCCTCATCCCCATCACTCATCTTTGAAACTTACTATCAGTCTTTTCCAGAGAGCCTTTGAATAATAAAACTTCTGTTTCTCATAGATTAGTTTCTGGGAAAGGGACACACAGCTATCAGTGTGTCTTAACGGTTGTGATGGAATTCTACCCCACTCCCAGAGAAGGTAAAACACCGTTATGTGGGAATGACAGGGCAGAGTCCTACTTGGGAGCAGATCATGCAGGGTCTCCTAGGCTGTGTAAAGTGGTCCTTATCTAATGATGGGAAGCTACTGCAGGATTTATGCAAGGATGAGACATTAGAGAGGCATTTTGAAAAAAAGCCTTAAAACTGCATGGTAGAGACAGGAGAATTGTTTGAACCCAGGAGGCAGAGGTTACAGTGAGCAGAGGTTGCACCACTGCACTCCAGCCTAGGGTGACTGAGCGAGACTGCATCTCAAAAAAAAAAGGAGAAGGAAGGAGAACTTAGTTAAATCGTGAGCTTGGTTGTAGACATGTTACTGAGATAATCAGGAGCTGATGGCAGGTAGGCTGTGGAATGTGAGAGAGGTGACTCAGGTACTCGAGTTGACTGGACTGAAGAAAAAAACAGGGAGTCATCCTAGACTGGGTGCAGATTGAAGATGTGTTTGAAAATTAGATAGCTCAGAAGAGCATGGCATGAGGAAAGGAGAGGGCCCAGGATTGAGACTAAGGAAATGGCAGCAGTCAGCGTTCGGGGAGAAGACGATGGATCTGCACAGGGAACAGATTAGAAGCAGCCAGAGAAGTGGGCAGGGTGTGGCGAAGACGGGTTGGAGGTTTGTGGAGTGGAGAACAGGAAGAGTGAGGAGCTAAGAGTGGCAAAGCAGCGCCTTGAGGACTCAGTCAAATTTGTTGCTGGTGAATTTTTAGCAGAACCCAGTCTACTTGGGTCATAGTGGCCACTTTCATTTGGCTGCTCAGGTATGAGAGAAAGCAAAGACCTGGACTGTACATCCCTGATGGGAGGTGAGCACTGACTGTCCTGAAGAAGCTTTTCAAGAGACTTCCCCATTGCCTGTAGGGGAGGACAATCCTAACCTGGTAAGGTACCCTAAAATCGTTCCTACAAGGGTTCTTTAATTATGTTACACAACCCCTTAGCCAGCCTGGAGCCGAGAAGCAACTGGGTGTTTGCCCTGCAGGGTGCTCAAGCCAGGGACTCTGCACATCAGATGGGGGCCCCTGTAGCTCTGGTCTATTGTGTGATACTGATGTTGTCATCCACTATACCATTGATGGATCAGCTCTTGACACACTTCCTGCTCTTGTGTATATACACTTTGTGTGCTTCAGCACTCCTTTGGGTTTCTGTTTCTTTTTGAGATGGAGTTTCATTCGTGTTGCCCAAGCTAGAGTGCAATGGCAGGCACAATCTCAGCTCACTGCAACCTCTGCGTCCCAGGTTCAAGCGATTCTCCTGCCTCAGCCTCCCAAGTAGCTGGGATTACAGGCATGGACCACCACACCCAGCTAATTTTTTGTATTTTTAGTAGAGATGGGGTTTCTCCACGTTGGTCAGCGTGGTCTTGAACTCCCGACCACAGGTGATCTGCCCACCTCAGCCTCCCAAAGTGCTGGGATTATAGGCATGAGCCACTGCGCCCGCCTGGGTTTTTGTTTCTTGCTAGCCAGAGCCCCAACCCAGTCATGTCTACCCTTTGCTCTGTCCCCACCTCCTTCAGACACAAAAGGGCCTCCTGGGAGGCAAGGCAGATTTTGCAGCACTTTTAATACACAAAGCAAAAGGTAATAGGTTGGATGAATGACCAACCTTCATTTGCATACAGAGCCCAAGTATAGATACTGACTAATTGGGAAATAAGTTAGAGTTTGCAGGGCCTTAGGGCTGAAGAGCCAGAAACACTGTCCTTCTGGCAGCCATGGCAGCGAGGATTTCCTTTTCTGAGGATAAAAAGGTAAAAATAAGTGTTTTTAAAGTATGGCAGACACCCGATCTTCAATAAAGAAGGTTGTTTCAACCCAGCCAGGCCTTCAGGAAGGCAGAATGGAGCCAGGCAGGGCCCCAGGAAAGCCCAACCTATGCTGCATGAAGCCAGTCAGGGCAGCTGGCAAGGGGGCACCTCCTTCACCCTGCACCGTCATCTCCACCCCGCATTCTGATCACAGTTAATCATCTCCTCTGATTCTCACAACTTCCTCCAGACTCCCTGGTACTTCAGAGAAAGCCAGGGACACAGCACGATTCTCTGTGTGTTTGTGAAAGTCAGTGCCTGCCTAGTTCCTTCATCTTCTCCCAGGCTCAGCCGCTGCTGTCATCATTCCACCCACCTGGTTTCAGTGCATGAACGCCTTCGGCTGCTCCACAGCCTGGTGTGCCTGCAGCACGGCCACTGCTTCGTCTATCTGTGGGACAGGAGTGGGAGGGGCTTAGTGCAGCTGTCACCACAGGTCCCAGAAGGGTCTTGACCTCCCCCTGGCTCAGCATCCTGGACACAGGATCCTCCTCCATCTACAGTGTTTCTGTGGAAACTCCACCGCTAATTGCAAGATTCCACGGCCCTGTCACCTTTGACACAGGTACACTGCTGGACAGCTGGAAAGATACTAACCCTTACACTCAGGTCAGAACACACTTCCTTGTACCAAAACCCTACCTACGGAACAACACAGAATGAGTCCATGGAGAGGCTGAAGTAGCAAACCCTTACCAAGGCCCCTCCACTCTGAGATTCAGCAGGCCTTCAGGTATCAGCAAGAACAAACACTTTATCTGGCCAAACAGCTGTCCACTAGCTCCAGTAGGAGAGCCGTTGTCCTTAGCTTTCCTCCTGGCCCCTCAGGCTCCCTGCTACCCAGGTTGGCTCCTGCTTACCTTGGCATGGAGGGACTCTGGAGACTCCAGCATGAGCAACAGCTCCGAGTTGTCAATCTCCAGCAGCATGCCCGTGATCTTGCCAGCCAGCTGGGTGTGGACATCATGGATAAGGGGGTAGAGACGCTCCCCTGTGTGGAACACCCTCTAATAGCTCGTGCACCTGCCTGGCTCACACTGCGGCATCCCAGGACTGGTATGGAGTGGAGCATTGAAGACATCTGGGTTCTTCTCCCAGAACTGCTCCTCCTAGGCTGTGACGTTTAACACCTGATCTTCTAACATCAGGTATTTCTAGTGACAGGGCCTGCTTGGTATTGGTGGTCAGCCCATCTCAGCACTGTGTGCAGGGCCCAGCCAGGATGGGGTGCCTTAAGTGGGGGCGGAAGGAGTCTTCCATGAAGAAAGTGAAGATGTTTACTTTCTACTACTAACAAACTATTACTAACTACTACTAACAAAGCCTTCTACTTCCATTAAGCTCATTTAAAATTTTTCCAGGTGAGGCCAGGTGCAGGTCATGCCTGTAATCACAGTACTTTGGGAGGCCGAGGCAGGCAGATCACCTGAAGTCAGGAGTTTGAGACCAGCCTGGTCAACATGGTGAAACCCAGTCTCTACTAAAAATACAAAAATTAGCCAGGCATGGTGGCAGGTGCCTATCTATAATCCCAGCTATTCGGGAGGCTGAGGCAGGAGAATCACTTGAACCCAGGAGGTGGAGGTTGGAGCGAACCAAGATCATGCCACAGCACTCCAGCCTTGGTGACAGAGCAATACTCCAGACAAAAAAGGAAAAAGAAATTCGGGGTGAGGGGAAAGGGTAACGTGGCAAAATCCTAAGTCAGCTGAGGAAACAGTGGAGCAGCTGGTAATGGGGGCCTGCAGTGAAGGATCTGCTGGTGGCCATGCACTGAAGAACCTGCCAACCAGGAACAAGCTTGTGTCCACTTAGTGGCATTTTTATCAAGGCCTGCCATGGACACTAGGAATGGAGATGAATTGCACAAGGAATCCAGGATCTATGAGGAACATTATGTATTTACCAAACACAGATTCCCTACCTCCCTGCAGTGGGCACTAGGATACTGGTGAATGAGTTTCTTCCCGTTCAGGAGAGGTGTGAGGAACTTTAACACCCACCTATGGGCCATTTCTCAGCAGAAATCCAAGACCGTACCCCTACTCCTCCATTCTGGGCCCTGATCTCCCCACATCTGGAGTGTCTCCCAGCCTCAAAGTCATAGGACAGCAGAGCTGGAAGAAATCCCAGGACCATCCAGTCTGACCAGGGTTTTAAGACGAGAGAATAGGTGCCTAGAGAATAGAAGCAGCGCCAGACACAGTGGCTCACACCTGTAATCCCAGCACTTGAGGCAGCAGAGGCAGGCGGATCACAAGGTCAGGAGTTTGAGACCAGCCTGGCCAACATGGTGAAACGCATCTCTACTAAAAATACAAATATTAGCTGGACGTGGTGGCACATGCCTGTAGTCCCAACTACTCAGGAAGCTGAGGCAGGAGAATCCCTTGAACCCGGGAGGCGGAGGATTTTAGTAAGCCAAGATCCTGCCACTGCTCTCCAGCCTGGCGACTTAGCAAGACTCCATCTCAAAAAAAAAGAATAGAGGCAGCTTGGCCACGGTCACTCAGTAGGTGGGTCAGTGACAAACTGGACTTTGATCTCATGTTGGACCTCCACTCAGGGTGTTTCCCAGCAGGCTAGCCAGCTCACAGCTCTCCTCTGCTTGCTCCAGAGTAGGAGAACCAGCCACTCACCAATCATCTGCTTTTGCTCATGCAGGGGCGCCGCAGCCAGCATGGACGCAGTCAGGGGCTCATGTCCTGGGATGTGCACAGCCGGCTCCTGGACCTGCATGGTGCCGGGGACACATCCCTTACTCACCACAGACAGGCCTGTCCTCAAAACACTTACCCTGGCAAGTGAACACAAGGCCAGGGAGGCACTGGAGGAGGGGAACAGCGGGCAGGGTCGGGATGATCAGGTTGGATGGAGAGTCCCCAACAAGGGCAAGGTGGATTAGAAGACAAAGTCATTCCTCTAGCTTAGATGTTTCCTGTACTGCTATGAGCTTATAAAGGTCCCTGATGTACAATGATAAATGAAAGCCCCGTGTTACCAATAACTTTGTGCCAAATAAAGCCCTTTTTATCAAGTAGTTTTATGGACACGTCCCCAGCACACTTCTCACCCTTTTGCATCATGGTAATTTTAAAGCATTTTTGGCCAGGTGCAGTGGCTCACACCTATAATCCTAGAACTTTGGAAAACCAGAGTGGAGGATTGCCTGAGGCCAGGAGTTTGAGATCAGCCTTGGCAATATAGTGAGACCCCTGTCTCTACAAAAAAAAAACACAAAATTAGCCAGACATAGTGTCACCCGTCTGTACTTGGAGGCTGAGGCGGCAGGATCACTTGAGCCTAGGAGTTCAAGGCTGCAGTAAGCTTTGATCACACCACTGCACTCTAACCTGGGTGACAGAGTGAGACCCTGTCAAAAACCAAAAGGCATTTTTGCTGTTTAAATACTTTTTTTTTTTTTTTTTTTTTTGAGACAGAGTCTCACCCTGTCGCCAGGCTAGAGTGCAGTAGCGTGATCTCGGCTCACTGCAACCTCCGCCTCCCAGCTTCAAGCGATTCTCCTGCCTCAGCCTCCCGAGTAGCTGGGACTACAGGTAGCGCCACCACCCCCAGCTAATTTTTGTATTTTTAGTAGAGACGGGTTTTCAGTATGTTGGCCAGGATGGTCTCGATTTCTCGACCTTGTGATCTACCTGACTCAGCCTCCCAAAGTGCTGGGATTACAGGCGTGAACCTCTTTCATTCTGCAAGAAATAGTTGAAATTAGACACACTGCAGTTCTACACAGGATATGATAATGCTGAATTTTAGACTTTTTTCAGGGCAGGGAGATAAATACAGTCTTTGGTTTTAGGTACTTTGTTTTGAAGATTAAGCACATCCCTCCTGTATTCTTAAAATACCTATCCTTGCTGTTCATCACAAAGACTAAGGAAATCCAAATTAATTTTGGTAATAACTGAGGCAAAACAAATTGTAAATAAAACATGATGCTGGCCCTCTTTCCCCTTCTCTCAGTAAGAGTGATCTCTTCTTGATTGTACACATTAACAAAGGAAAGTTTAAAAGCCAAGAAAAGAAAAACAGCCAAAGCCCAACATGTTAGCCAAAGTTCTGAGCCAGGCGTCCGGGACCCCAGGCTAAGGGCAGGCAGCTGGGCCGGCCTTACCTGATCGGTGCTGTGTGCTGCTGAAGAACACTTGTACGGCAGGAGAGGCCGGCCTGGCGTGCAGCATCCTACCCCACTGGGTCCTGTGGTCTGAGTACCAATGTTGGCTGCAAAAAAAGGTAAGCAGAATTCAAATAGCTGCTATCCAAAAACAAAACAAAACGAAACAAAAACAAAATAACAAGTGTTGACAAGAATGTAAAGAAATTAGAACACTGTGCACTGTCGTAGGAATGTAAAACCATGCACCCACTACAGAAAAACAGTATAGGACTTCCTCAAAAAATTGAGCAGAATTACCATATCATCCAGCAATTTTACCTCTAGGTATACACCTAAAAGAATTGAAAGGATGGTTTCAAAGAGCTATTTGTACAACCATTTTCTTTTTGTTTTCTGATACGGAGTCTTACTCTGTCACCCAGGCTGTAGTGCAGTGGTACGATCTCAGCTCACTACTACCTCTGCCTCCCGAGTCCAATCGATTCTCTTGCCTACCAAGTAGCTGGGATTACAGGCACGTGCCTCCATGTCTGGCTAATTTTTGTATTTTTAGTAGAGACAGGGTTTCACCGTGTTAGCCAGGCTGGTCTCAAACTCCTGACCTTATGACCCACCCGCCTCAGCCTCCCAAAGTGCTGAGATTACAGGCATGAGCCACAATGCCCAGCCTGTACAACCATTTTCATAGCAACATTATTCACAATACCCAAAGGGTAGAAGCAATCCAAATGTCCATTGATAGAATAACTATAAATGACATCTATACATACAAGGGAATATTTTTCAGCCTTAATAAGGAGATTCTGACACATGCTACAACATGGATATATCTTGTGACATGTAAAATTAAAAAAAAAAAAAAAGCCAGCTGCAAAAAGACAAATGCTCTATGATTCCACTTTCATGAGGTACTGAGAATAGTCAAATTCACAGAGACAAGTAAAATGGCAGTTGCCAAGGGCTAGCAGGAGGAGGAATGAAGTTATGGTTTAACAGGTACAGAATTTCAGCTCTGCAAGATGAACAGAGTTCTGGAGAGTGGACAGTGGGGATACTACATAGCAGCGTGAATATACTTAATGCCATTGACCTGTACACTGAAAAATAGTTAAGTGGTAAATTTTGTTATATGAATTTTACCATGATAAGAAAAAAGAAAGAAAGAAGCAGGGGTGTCAGGGCCTGCAGGAACCTATGGCCAGGGACTGAGTATGCCTCATTCGTGCAGAATCTCCAGTGCTGAGCTTGGGGTCAGCACACTGTGGATGTGAGAACTTTTGCAGAATGAAGGAACAGATGTGCATGCCGTACAGCCAAAATCCACACCCTTGTTTATGGTTGCTGCGATATTTACCAGGCTTCAGGCCCAGTGCTAAGCCCTTGCATGCGTGATCTCATTAATCCTCAACAACAAGCCAGGTGTGGTGACTCACGCCTGTAATCCCAGCACTTCGATGGGAGTCCGAAGTGGGTGGAACACCTGAGGTCAGGAGTTCGAGACCAGCCTGGCCAACATGGTGAAACGCTGTCTTTACTAAAAATATAAAAATTAGCTAGGTGTTGTGGTGCACACCTGTAGTCCCAGCTACTCGGGAGGCTGAGGCAGGAGAATCGCTTAGAACCCGGGAGGCAGAGGTTGCAGTGAACCAAAATCACTCCAGTACACTCCATCGTGGGCAACTCGGTCTCAAAAAAGAAAAAATCAAAAACATTTTTTTAAAAATCCTTGACAACAAAATGGGAGTACTATTTTTGTCCCCATTTTAAAGATTAGGTGATTGGATACAGCAGTTCAGCAAAAGGCCACAGAGTGAGTTGGCCCCAGGGACTGGAGGCCAAGCTAACTACCATGCAGACTACAGACAGTCTGCAAAATTGGCCTTGCCCACCGGGAGAGCGTATGGCAAGGGCACCATGAATGTTGGTCCTGACTCCCAGTGCCAACCTTACCCACCCCCATTCCCCTTGGCCCTACCCACACTTACCCACTCTCTGAGTGTGGGGCACCGTACGTGGCACCTGGGTGGAGGCCTGCCTGATACCGCCGATGTGGGCCGGGGGGCACCGAGGCATCACTGGTGGCCGAACCATTGAGGCACCTGGAGGGTAGGCAGCTTGTGGTGCAGACACCACAGAGAGAGAAAAATTGGATGAAGACGGGGGAATCATCAAGATGGCACGCTGTACCTGGAAGCTTCCAGGGCCACCAAAAAAATGGGAAGGGAAACTAGAACATTCACAACAGAAATAGGAGTCAATTCACCTAGACCCAGAACTCCAGGAAGAGGGTGTAGAAAAATGCAATTTCAAAGCCAACTGATGTCTACCCAGAGCCCCCAAATGCATAAGTACCATGATCAGACACCTTAGTCCCTTCGAGACAGTTTCAAGTGAGTGTGCATTTCACTCTTATAGAGGAGGGCCTTTGGTCAACAAGATAGCCAGAGGAATTTCATTTTCTCAGCTTTGCAAGAATTTTCAGAGTCACAAATCAGAGGAGTCTGGCGATGACTGCTAGTGGCTAACTGCATGCATGTCTTTCACTGGCTCATGCCGGTGCTTGGTACTTTACGCAAATCTCATTCAGGCCCATGCTCAGAAGAGGAAACTGAGGCTCAGAGAAGTGAAGTCACCCACCCTGGCAAGTGGCAGGGCCAGGTTTCTTCCCTATGTTATGACTGCCTCACAAGGCCCACACCACTGGGCCAGTCTGAGAATGGAAGGGGTTGGGTCACTCACAGGAAGGTCTAGGTGGCTGGGATGTCCACCTGGGGGCAGGCTGGGTGGGTGTCACTGGGCCACAGCCATAGTATGCAGCCTGGGCTGGAGGCTGCATGGGAGAAGAAGACCCAGGATGAGGGGCTTGGCGGCAGGGTCAGTGAGAAGCTATACCTCCTCAGGGACCCCCTGGCAGGAACACTACTGGCCCCTGCAGCGGACTGGTAAGTAAAGACCTACAAGGCTGGAATGAAAGCTCCTTCCTCCCATCTTAGGATACCCATTAGCCCTGAATCCTCCAGGGCAAAGATCTTAGATTTCAATCTTGGCTGCTTGTCAGCTAGCCCAATGACCTGGATAAAAAGGGTGACATCTTACTCCAACTTGTGCCAGTTTAAGCAACTGCTAAAAGGAGAGGAATGTTCTCACCCTGGTGGCCATTAATAGCTGACATCTTTCTACTTCCTCTCAGCTCCACAAGGTCCTTTCCCAAACCATGCTCCTCAGAACATTAACATCCAGGGGAGATGCCAACAGGCATCCCACAAAAAACGACCATCTAAGCTGGGGAAATGCCACATAATCTGTGCCTGTTTTGGAGAGTCACAGATATTGGCATATTAGAGTAGAATAATGTAGATAGTAAAGAAACCTAGGGCCAGGCATGGTGGCTCATGCCTGTAATCCCAGCACTTTGGGAGGCCGAGGAGGGCAGATCACTTGAGGTCAAGAGTTCAAGTCCAGCCTGGCCAATATGGTGAAACTCCGTCTTTACTAAAAATACAAAAAATTAGCCGAGTATGGTGGCACATGCTTGTAATCCCAGCTACTTAAGAGGCTGAGGCACGGGAATCACTTGAACCCAGAAGGTGTAGGTTGCAGTGAACCGAGATGGTATCACAGCACTCCATTTTGGGCAACAGAGCAAGCAAGACTGTCTCCAAAACAAAACAAAAAAATTAATTTTAAAAAATATGTAGGGCAGGGCACACGGCGGCTGATTCCTGTAAGGCCAGGACTTTGGGAGGCCAAGGCAAGAGGATTGCTTGAGCCCAGGAGTTTGAGACCGGCCTGGGCAACATGGCGAGACCCCTTTCTTTAAAATAAACAAAAAAAATTAGCTGGCCATGGCGGCATGCACCTACAGTCCCAGCTACTCAGGAGGCTGAAGTGGGAGGATCACTCAAGGAATTCAAGGCTGCAGTGAGCCATGATCACACCATTGCTCTCCAGTCTCGGTGACACTGAGACCCTGTCTTAAAAAAAAAGAAAAGAGGCCGGGCGCGGTGGCTCAAGCCTGTAATCCCAGCACTTTGGGAGGCCGAGGCGGGTGGATCACGAGGTCGAGAGATCGAGACCATCCTGGTCAACATGGTGAAACCCCGTCTCTACTAAAAATACAAAAAAAAATTAGCTGGGCATGGTGGCACGTGCCTGTAATCCCAGCTACTCAGGAGGCTGAGGCAGGAGAATTGCCCAAACCCAGGAGGCGGAGGTTGCAGTGAGCCGAGATCGCACCATTGCACTCCAGCCTGGGTAACAAGAGCGAAACTCCGTCTCAAAAAAAAAAAAAAAACAAAGAAAAGAAAAGAAAAAATGTAGGTTTAACTTGCTTAATGCATCATTTCCCAAGCTTACTACATCATTGAGAGTCTTTTTTAGCACAACATTTACGAGCTTCTCTCAGACTGGAAAATGCCATTTGACTAACACTCTCTCTCCCTTTTATGGAGGGAAAACGAAGAACTCGGCAGAAGCAAGCTGGGAACTTCCATCCGCCTAGGAACTCTAGTCTTCACGCTCTGCCTGGCTGGGGCAGCGGGGACGGCTGTGGTGGGAGCTGTGGGCAGGCCGTCACCTGGGGCACGGCAGGCAGGAAGTAGCTGGAGGGCTGCTGAAAGGAACCCAAGAGGGGGTTGCTCAGGGTCCGCATGGTGGAGACACGCTGCATGTACTGGTTGGTCAAGATGGCCTTCCGCTCCTCTTTGCGCTGGGCCAGTGCCACATAGAGTGGCTTGGTGCCCACGATGCGCCCGTTCATCTCTGTCACGGCCTTTGTCGCCTCTTCTGGGGAGGAAAAACACACAAAGCCAAACCCCTTGCTGTGGCTACCCTCTGTCATCACCTAAAAGCAAGACAAGACAAGAGCTGCTGGGGTGGAGAAGGAAGGTTCCTGGGGCTGCACTGCCTCCCTCCTCCCCAGGGGCCAAGCCCAGCACTGGGCAGGCCCGAGAGACAGCTGTGACTCAGAGCTGTAGCGTGCACCAGTTTACTGAGCGGGGATGGCGGGATATAGTGTGTACTCCCATTTAGTGAGCTGTGATAGAGGAAAGTAGCGTGGACCACCGTTTACAGAGCTGTGTTTGAAGGATGCAGCGTGCACCCCGTTTACTGAGTGGTGATGGAGGGATGCAGCATGCACCCTCATCTACTGAGGCCTGCTGCATGCCAGATACTTTACACATCTTCACATCTCACATGTACAACCCCCCTGATGCAGGAGGCATCACACCTTCTGCTTTGCAGCTAGGATAAGAGAGATTCCAAAGAATGACTTGTCCAGAGTCACTCAGCCAGTGGTTCATACAACAGCCAGGACTCACCCCAACACACTGTTCTGGTGAGCTGCTATTGCCTCTGCTAAGTAAGCCAAGTTCTTTAAGAATTTGGGAAAGAGGTTCTTAGCCTTTTTGTTAAAATAACCTTTTTATTTTGGAGTAACTTTAGATTTATAGAAAAAGTTGCAAAAATATTACAGAGGGTTGCTGTCTTTTTTGTTTTTTTTTTTTTTGAGACAGAGTCTCACTCTGTCACCCAGGCTGGAGCGCAGTAGTGCGTTCTCGGCTAACTGTTACCTCAGCCTCCCAGGTTCAAATGATTCTCCTGCCTCAGCCTCCTGGGTAGATGGGACTACAGGCACGTGCCGCCACACCCAGCTAATTTTTGTATTTTTAATAGAGACAGGATTTTACCATGTTGGCCAGGCTGGTCTTAACTCTTGACCTCAAATGATCCACCTGCCTCAGCCTCCCAAAGTGCTAGGATTACAGGTGTGAGCCACTGGGCCCGGCCTGCTGTATATCTTTTACCCAGCTTCCCCCAATGTGAACATGGTACATTTTTCAAAATGACAACATTAACACTGGTGCAATGCTATTAACTATTATACTATTAGCTCCTATTAGCTGCAGTGCTATTAACTGAACTCCAGACTTCACTGGAATTTCACTCTTTTTTCCCCTAATATTAATTTTCTCTTTCAGGATCCAACATGGCATTTAGGGTTCGTAACTTTTTTTTTTTTTTTAAAGAGATGGAGTTTCACTCTGTCATCCAGGCTGGAGTGGAGTGGTATGATCATAGCTCACTGTAGCCTCAAACTCCTGGTCTCAAGGGATCCTCCTGCCTCAGCCTCCCAAGTAGTTAGGTCTATAGGTACATACCACCACGACCAGCTAATTTGTGTGTGTGTGTGTGTATGTGCGTGTGTGTGTGCGTGCATATGTGTGTGTGTGTGCGTGTGTGTGCGTGCATATGTGTGTGTGTGTGTGTGTGTGTGTGTGTGTGTGTGTGTGCAGGGATCAGCTCTCTCATTATGTTGCCCAGGATGGTCTCAAGAGATCCTCCTACCTAGGTCTCCCAAGGTGCAGGGATTATAGGCAGGAGCCACTACACCTGGCCCTGGCTTTTTAACCTTTGTTAGGGTCAAGACACTGGCCTGGCTCACACATCCCATAAAAGTTAGAGTTATTTTCAAAATCTACACTATTAGAGCCCATGCTCTTTTTTTCTTTTTTTCTTTTTTTTTTTTTTTTGAGTTAGGATCTCACTCGGTCACTCAGCTGGAGTGCAGTGGTGCAATCTCAGCTCACTGTATCCTTGACCTCCTAGGCTCAAGTGATCCTCTCACCTCAGTCTCCCAAGTAGCTGAGACTACAGGCACACACCACCATGCCTAGTTACTTTTCTTTGTTTTTTGTAAAGATGAGGTCTCATCCTATTGTCCAGGCTGGGCTTGAACTCCTGGAGAGCCCATGCTCTTAATCAGTAATTTTCAAACTGTACTCTGCTATCCTTCAGTACAGGGGTCTTAATCTGAGAGTCCATAGATCCCCCTCAGGGAGGTCAAAGATACAATTTAGGGGGTCTGTGAACCTGGATTGGGGAAAAGTAACATCTTTATTTTCACATTAGCATTTCCATTATGAATATCAGCAACAACATAAAAAATCCTAGCAGTATGACTCATGCCTATGACTTTGTCATGAAGGAAAAGAAAATATTTTCATATTACATTAATTATTGCTAATCTCAGCCAGGTGCGGTGGCTCACACCTATAACCCCAGCACTTTGGGAGGCTGAGGTGGGCAAATCACCTGAGATCAGGAGTTCAAGACCAGCCTGGCCAACATGGTGAAACCCCATCTCTACTAAAAATATGCAAAAATCAGCTGGGAGTGGTGGTGGGCACCTGTAATCTCAGCTACTCAGGAGGTTGAGGCAGAACCCGGGTTCTTGAACCTGGGAGGCAGAGGTTGTAGTGAGTCAAGATCACACCGCTCCACTCCAGCCTGGGTGACAGAGCAGGACTTCATCTCGAAAAAAGATAAAAATAAAAATAAAAAAATAAAAGCACGTACTGCTGTCACTCTAGTATTTTCACCATTATGTATTTTTCGATATAATTTTTTTTGTAATTTCATTTCTATGAATTTTATTTTATGCATTAAAAAATATTCTTAGACCCAGGTTTGGTGGCTCATTCCTATTTTTGGGAAGCTGAAGTGGAAGAATTACTTGAGCCCAGGAATTTGAGACCAGCCAGGGCAATATAAAAAATTAGCCAGGCATACTGTAGCTCCTATAGTCTCAGCTACTTGGGAGGCTGAGGCAGGAGGATTGCTTAATGCCAGGAGTTGGAGGCTGCAGTATGGCACCACTGCATTCCAGCCTGGGCAACAGAGTGAGACCCTGTCTCAAAAAGGGTTTTTAAAAAATATTCTTAGAAGGGGTCCACAGGCTTCATCAAACAGCCAAAGGGCCGGGTGTGGTGGCTCATGCCTATAATCCCAGCACTTTGGGAGGCTGAGGTGGGTGGGTCACCTGAGATCAGGAGTTTGAGACCAGCCTGACCAACACAGTGAAATGCCATCTCTACTAAAAATACAAAAAATTAGCTGGGTGGCAGCCACCTGTAATCCCAGCTACTCAGGAGGCTGAAGTAGGAGAATCTCTTGAATCCAGGAGGTGGAGGTTGCAGTGAGCCAAGATCACACCATTGCACTCCAGCCTGAGCAACAAGAGTGGAACTCTGTCTCAAAAAATATATATATATAGTTAAGAATTTCTGGTAGTAGATAGTTAATAATGATAAAATTTAGCAAAGCTAACACTTAACGCAGAGCTTACTAGGAACTTGATAGTGGCATAAGTATTTATATCCATTAATCCCTTTAATTTTTATAATCATTTTTTATATAAAACAAAATATAGTCCAGATGCAGTGGCTCATGCCTATAATCCCAGCACTTTGGAAGGCTGAGGTGGGAGGACTGCTTGAGCTCAGGAGTTTGAGACAAGCCTGGGTAACACAGCAAGAACCCATCTCTACCAAAATTTGTTTTTAAAAAACCAGCTGGGCATGGTGGAACACACCTGTGGTCCCAGCTACTTGGGAGGCTCAAGTGAGAGAATCACTTGAGCCCAGGAGGTTGCAACGTGCCATGATCACACCACTGCACTCCAGCCTGGGCAACAGAAAAAGTACCTGTCTCTAATAAAAAATAATAATAAACCAAAATATATAAAATTTTATAAGACAGGATGGGCATAGTGGCTCATGCTTGTAATTTCAGCACTTTAGGAGGCCAAGGAAGGCAGATCACCTGAGGCCAGGAATTCAAGACCAGACTGAACAACATAGCGAAACCCTGCCGTAACTCTACTAAAAATACAAAAATTAGCTGGGCTTAGTGGCTGGCACCTATAATCCCAGCTACTCAGAAGGCTGAGGAAGGAGAATTGCTTGAACCCAGGAGGGAAAGGTTGCAGTGAGCCAAGATCTCGCCACTGCACTCCAGCCTAAGTGACAAGAGGGAAACTGTCTCAAAAAAAAAAAAAAAAAACAAAGATATATACAACTTTTTGGCCTGTTAAAAAGATGGTCACCCTAGGTATGCCTTAACTCTAAGGAATCCAAATTTACACATTTCTTTTGTTCCAGAAGTACTCAAGAAGTCCATCTCCTGAAACTGTATATAAGGTGTGTGATGAATAATTACAACAGTCACTCTCTCACTGCTTATTGAATGCAGATGCTCTACATGCAGCCTCTTTAGTAGCTCTCAGGACACCTCGAGAGGTGAGTAGTGTTGCTCCCATTCCATAGGTGGGTCAACAAGGTCCAAAAAGCAATGCCACTGGCCTCAGATTCTAGAGCTAGGTAATGGTAGGACTGGGGTTTACATTTAGGTCTGATTAACTTTAAAATCCCAGCTTTCAACCATGTTATTACATCAAATGTGTATGCATTTGCTGGGAAAGAAGACCGATAGCTTTTGATAATGTTTAATCAAATTTACTAATGGCTAATTTACATGTGCCACAGGCTTCTCTCACATTTTTCGAAAGGCTCTTAACCTAAAAGACACCGTTTTTTTCCTCCAAACGCAAGGCTCCCTGAAGGATGTTTAAACTGGCCTCAGTACCCACAAGAGAACTCCTAGACCATTTCCTCAGAACCCAATCATCCCTTCATTCAGGTGGGTCCCCCACCCTATCACCCGCACTGATCTCTTTGGAAAATTCCTCATTCCCACCCCAGCTCCCTACCTCCTCACAGCCAAGTCAAATACTGCTGCTACTGCCACTTCTTCCAGGCAGCCCTTCCCCCTGTTCCATTGAGTTTCTGTAGCTCTGCCTTCCATACTATCCCCCATCTTATAATCCATTTGAGTTAGTGATGGGCTGACTTCCTCACTGATCATAAGCTACTCGAAAGCAGGGATCACATTTGATGTGTTCCTGTTTCCCATAGAGCCTGGTAAAACAGCAGGTATTTAAGTATAGAATGAACAAACACTAGGTCATCTTAAAACCATTTGGGAGCTTCTTAAAGAAAAATAAAGTCCAGGCACCATGGCTCACGCCTGTAATCCCAGCACTTTGGGAGGCTGAGGCAGGTGGATCACACCTGAGGTCAGTAGTGTGAGAGCAGCTTGGCCAACACGGCGAAACCCCATCTCTACTAAAAATACAAAAACAAGCCAGGTGTGGTGGTGCCCGCCTGTAGTCACAGCTACTTGGGAGGCTGAGGCAGGAGAATCGCTTGAACTTGGGAGGTGGAGGTTGCAGTGAGCCCCTGCACTTCAGCCTGGGCAACAGAGCGAGACTCTGTCTCAAAAATAAATAAATAAATAAATAAATAAATAAATAAATAAAATAAAAAGCCCAGGTCCTACACCCTGGAGATCCACATTCCATCATTGATTCAGGGATGTATATTTAAGAATTGCCCAGGGGGTTGTAATGAGAAGCCAGGGCCAAGAGCCACCCAGTGAGCGCCAGCGTCCTCATCTGTAAGAGGACACCTGCTGAAGCTCACAGAGCTGCTGAAAAGATGGACCAGTTGTCACATCTCAGGGGTCTAACAGGGTTAGGCACAGAGTTGGTGCTCCAGAAATAGGGAAGAACAAATGAAGAATGACGGAGTCCAGCCCTCTCACTTTCCAGATGGGAAAACGGAGACCCAGGAGGATAATGTCACTGGCAGAAGCCAGACAACAGAAGTCAATGGAAATACTAAGATGTGAATTTCTGGAATCTGGCATCCAGTAGGCACTCAATAAATGCCAAAGTTACAGTGAGCCCCAAATCCAGCTGTGTGACTGGGACTATATTTCTACCCTCTTCCCCTCTAACCCAGACAAGGCTGCAGATGGGCTACAAACTCCAATGGGGTCAGCAGAGCCCCAGAAGGGGTACCCAGTACCCCTCAGAGATCTCTGCGCAAGAGGGCGGAGGGGCGGGGTTGTGGGAGGATGGTGGTGAGACAATGGAGGGAAATGCTGTCCCCTAGAGATGCCCCCAACCCTCACCTTCGCACTGGTAATCACTCCATAGGGAGAGAACTCTTTCCTCAGTTTGCCATCATCAATGGAGTCATCCAGGTTCTTCACGTACAAGTTCACACCCTGGAAGGAAGGGAAGCTGTTGGATAGCCCTTCCCCTCCAAGCCTCCACTGCCTTGTGGAGACCAGGGGGCTGACACAGGCACGAGGAGCATGGGAAGCCCCACCAGCCCAGCCTCCTGCTCCCCATCTCCCTCAGCAACCAGGTCCCCCCATCCCTCAGCATGCCCACCACCTGCAAGCTGTAGCCGCCACATCCCTAATGCCCCTGCAGTTCTCACACACCTGCACTGGTCCCAGCCTCACCACAGCTATTCCCCATTTCACAGATGGGACCCACGAGGATGTCGCAGGTCCCACAGCAGACTGAGGTCCAGGGCAGGCCGAAGCAGAGCTCTCCAGATAGCGGATGTCGGGCAGCAGGAGGCACAGCTCCTTACCGCTGGCCCGTGACCAGATCCCATCACAGGCGAGCTGCCCCTCTACCACCTGCCAGCCCAGGAACCTCGGGCACTTACTCATGCTGGTGCCAGGCTCCACTCTAAGCTTTCTCAAACATTTTGATTTTTGGTTTTTTAGACAAAAAAATCAAAATGTTTGATTTTTTTTTTTTTTTGAGACGGATTTTTGTTCTTGTTGCACAGGCTGAAGTACAATGGTGTGATCTTGGCTCACTGCAACCTCTGCCTTCTGGGTTCAAGTGATTCTCCTGCCTCAGCCTCCCAAGTAGCTGGGATTACAGGCATGTGCAACCAGGCCCAGCTAACTTTATGTTTTTAGTAGAGAAGAGGTTTTACTATATTGGTCACGTTGTTCTTCTGACCTCAGGTGATCCGCCCACCTTGACCTCCCAAAGTGCTGGGATTACAGGCATGAGCCACCACATCAAGCCACATTTTGATTTTTTTTTTCCTTTTTTCTTTTTTTTTTTTTTGGAGACAGAGTCTTGCTCTGTTGCTAGGCTGGAGTGCAGTGGTGCAATCTTGGCTCACCACAACCTCCGCCTCCAAGGTTCAAGTGATTCTCCTGCCTCAGCCTCCCAAGCAGCTGAGATTACAGGCGCCCGCCACCACACCCAGCTAATGTTTTGTATTTTTGTTAGAGATGGGGTTTTCTATGCTGGTCAGGCTGGTCTCAAACTCTGGGCCTCCAATGATCCACCCACCTTGGCCTTCCAAAGTGCTGGGATTATAGGCATGAGCCACCACGCCCGGCTCACATTCTGATTTTTAATCCTCACAACAACCCTAAGTAAAGGAAACTTTTATCCGTGTTTTACAGACAAAACTGAAACACAAAGAGGCGAAGTAAGTTGCCCCCAGTCATCTAGTAGCTAAGTGGCAGAGCCAGGACAACCCAGGCAGCCTAACTTCAGAGCCTGTGCGCCTCCCTGTTGAGTGACAGCTGCCTCTAGCACCTTGACTTTTCTCCTTCCAGACCTCCCAAACACAACAGCGTGTGAATGCACAAGAGAACAGGGACCACACAGTTGCACAGCATGGCATCCTGCTCTCACAGATTACATGAGGAGTATTTTGTTCTGTGGGTCTGTAAGCCCCTGGACCTGTTGTATCTATACAGAGGGACGTATGTGTTTCTCAGCCTCAGCCCTGGTGACATTTTGTGCCAGATAGCTTTTTGCTGTGGCGTTGTCCTGGGCTCTATAGGATGTCTGCCAGCATCCCTGGCCTCTACCCAGTAGATAACAGTAGCACTCTACCACCCACACAACAATGAAAATTCTAGACACTGACAAATATCCCCCAGGAAGCAAAACTGCTCCTCACTGAGAACTGAGTATGTGTGCGTGTTTTTGTGTGGATGTGTGTATTTATATACCCCTCTCCATGAAAGATCTAGAAGTTTTATGAAAAATCTTAGAGGGGGGCCAGGCACAGTGGCTCATGCCTGTAAGCCCAGCAGTTTTGGAGGCTGAAGTGGGCAGATCATCTGAGGTCAGGAGTTCGAGACCAGCCTGGCCAGCACAGTGAAATCCTGTCTCTATTAAAAATACAAAAATTAGGCCAGGCACAGTGGCTCACGCCTGTAATCCCAGCACTTTGGGAGGCTGAGGTGGGCAGATCACGAGGTCAGGAGTTCGAGACCAGCCTGGGCAACATGGTGAAACACTGTCTCTACTAAAAATACAAAAATTAGCCGGGCATGGTAGTGCATGCCAGTAATACCAACTACTCAGGAGGCTAAGACAGAAGAACTGCTTGAACCCAGAAGGCAGAGGCTTCAGTGAGCCGAGATCATGCCACTGTACTCCAGCCTGGGCAACAGAGCAAGACTTCATCTCAAAAAAAATCTTAGAGGGGTTTACTTCCCAATGAAGTTTTAAATTGCACTGATGTACAATATCCACTTTAATTAAATTATTAACTCCGTATAATTCAAAGGCTGTCCAATATTCCAACTTTTGGATGTAACATTTGGCTTAATTATTCTCAACCAGAAGTCAGATTTCCTCTAGGGGAATTTAGCAGTATGCGGGATACTCTGGTTGTCTGAGACTAGAGGATGCAACTGGGATTGAGTGGGCAGGTTTGGATGCTAACCAGTCCCAGACAAAGGATTATTCTAACCAAAAGGTCCCCAGCATCCCTACTAACTCCTATCATGGCTAGGAAGTTGGGTTGTGCCCAGTCTCTCACTGTTATAAATCAGGCAGTGGGAACCATCCCAGGCTCATCCTGCCTTGAGCCAAGTGCCTAGAAGTAGGATCACTAGAAGAAACAGTCGCCACTTGGGGCTACCGACACACAGCTGCTTTCATCCAGAAATGGCTGCCACCAGGAAGCCTGACCTCACCTGATAACGGCTCAGCCGGTCCTGCTTCATCTGCTCAAACCTGCGCTTCAGTTCATTCTGCCGCTCCACGCGCTTCTGGGCCCGGCTCGCATATAGCAGCCGCCCGCTCACCTCCTTCCCATTCATATGGACCACAGCCTGGGGAGACGGGGACGGAACATGCTTGGTAACCACTTGGATGTGGCCCTGGCCCAGACCCATCTTCTTGATCTAGAGGAACCACCTGCAAACCAGGCTGGCCACACTAGTGAGAATAATCAGTACCAGGACAAAGGCCATTTAAGTACACCCACTTTGGCTCATGCCTGTAATCCCAGTACTTTGGGAGGCGGAGGCGGGCAGATCAGCTGAGGTTGGGCATTTGAGACCAGCCTGACCAACATGAAGAAACCCCGTCTCTACTAAAAATGCAAAATTAGCTGGGCATGGTGGCACATGTCTGTAATCCCAGCTACTTGGGAGGCTGAGGCTGGAGAATCGCTTGAACCCCGGAGGCAGAGGTTGTGGTGAGCCAAGTTGTGACATTGCACTCCAGCCTGGGCAACAAGATTGAAACTCTGTCTCAAAAGAAAAAAGTCAGTCTGGGGCTCAATTTTAAAAAACAAAATTGACAGCCAGGCAGGGTGGCTCACACCTGGTAATCCCAGCACTTTGGGAGGCCAAGACAGTCAGATCCCTTGAGGTCAGGAGTTCGAAACCAGCCTGGCCAATGTGGTGAAACCCTGTGTCTACTAAAAACACAAAAATTAGTCAGGCATGGTGGCGGGCACCTGTAACCCCAACTACTTGGGAGGCTAAGGCAAGAGAATCCCTTGAACCTGGGAGGCGGAGGTTGCAGTGAGTTGAGATTGCACCACTGAACTCCAGCCTGGGCAACAGAGCAAGACTCCATTTTAATAAAATAAAAGTAAAAATAAAATTGAGATTTGAAAAGTTTCCCATATTTAAAATGTAAATATTGCCGGGCGCCGTGGCTTACACCTGTAATCCCAGCACTTTGGAAGGCCAAGGCGGGTGGATCACCTGAGGTCAGGAGTTTGAGACCCACGTGGTGAAACTTCGTCTCTACTGAAAATACAAAAATTAGCTGGGTGTGGTGGTGGGTGCCTGTAATCCCAGCCACTTGGGAGGTTGAGGCAGGAGAATCACTTGAACCTGAGAGGCAGAGGTTGCAGTGAGCCAAGATCACACCACTGCATTCCAGCCTGGGCCACAGAGTGAGAATCCATCTCAAAGATAAAGTAATTAATTAATTAAAATAAAATGTAAATATTATATATATTCCCGTATTTTAAATGTGTATTACTACGTGAAAGAAGCCAATCTAGGCAACATACTCTATGTTCTGGAAAAGGCAAAACTACGGAGCCAGTGAAAAGATCATTGGTTGCCAGGGGTTGAGGGGCAGGGGGAATGAACAGATGGAGCACAGGGGATTCGTAGGGCATTGAAAGTACTCTGCATGATACCATAATAGTGGACACATGTCATTATGCATTTGTCCAAACCCCTAGACTGTATACCAAAAGTAAATCCTAATGTAAACTTGGGACTGTGTGTGTTAATGAGGTGTCAAAGTAAGTTCATCGCTTGTAACAGTTGTAATCCTTGGGAGCAGGACACTGATAATGGCAGAGGCTACTGATGTGGGGGGGGCATGGGGTACACAGAAAACCTCCGTACCTTCCATTAAACATTGCTGTGAACCTAAAACTGTATTAAAGAGAGAACTTAAAAAAATTTAGTTTCCAACTGCAACTACACATGGATAATTTGAACAAAGCAGCAAGAACGATTCTTTCATAATGGCATGATAGCATCATCAACATCCTTCGCTTCGAGTTGGATTTCACGGCACATCATGAACCTTTTTGCTAACTGTGAGAGCCTTTTTGTGTGTGAAGATGGGGTCTCGCGTTTTGCCCTGCTGGTCTCAAACTCCTGAACTCAAGCAGTCTTCCCACCCAGACTCCTCAAGTGCTGGGATTACAAGCCTGAGTTTTTTAAAATTTAGACAGTTTTTTAAAAATTAGAGCCAGGATCTTGCTATGTTGCCCAGGCTGGATGCAAACCCCCGGGCTCAAGGAATCCTCCTGCCTCAGCCTCCCGTGTAGGCTGAGACTACAGGTACACACCACCACAACAGGTGGAAACTGATTTAAGTGGTCAGTTGAAGAGTAAATATTTTTATATAACGATAACTTTTGCATCCCTACGTAAATATTCAATTCTGCGGACCTCAGGGCTCAGAAGTGAGCAAAAAAGAATGAAGCCTTTGGCCTTTGCACCACCGGAAGAACAGGCTCAGCCTGCACATAGGACTCTCCCACCCTCTTGACCTAAGCTGGGGAGGGACTTTCTTCCCCTCCACAGGCAGCTAGGGCCCCCTCTTCTCAGTCCCGGCTCCGTGCCCCTGTCCTGGAACATAGCCATGGGGAGGCTCCTACCTTCTGGGCTTCCTCGTGCTTCTCAAAGTTAACAAAGCCAAAGCACCGCGAGCGGCCGCTGCTGTCCCTCATCACCTTCACACTCAGCATCTTCCCTGCAGGGGACCAACCTGGCTCAAAGGGGAGTCTGCAAAGTCCCAGAACGTGTCCTCCCTTCCCACAAGTCCTCGGGAAACCCTCAAAGGGCCCCTCCTCCCTACCAGAATTTGGAGGGGAAGAGGAAAAACAGTGATACCCCTGCTCCCTCGGGAACACACCCACCAAACTGGGAGAAGAGGTCCTGCAGGCCTTGCTCGTCCACATCCGCCGGGAGGTTCTTCACGTAGATGTTGGTGAACTCCAGGGCTCGCGCTCCCAGCTCCGCCGCCCGCTCCCGTCGAGACTTGAAGTGGCCCACAAAGCTGCAGGCAGAGCAAGAGGGTAGGCAGCTGCCAGCCATCAGCCACCCCCATGCCAACTCCCACTCAACTGCTGCCCTTCTCCAGGCTTACATATCCCTCATCAGGAAACTGGGCAGCCTTGACCTCCTTGGCTCAAGTGATCCTCCTGTCTCAGCCTCCTTTGTAGCTAGGATGACAGACACCACCCGCCACCATACCTCGCTAATTTTTTTATTTTTTATTTTGTAGAGATGGGATCTCACTTTGTTGCCCAGGGTTGTCTTGAACTCTTGGGTTCAAGCGATCCTCCTGCTTCAGTCCCCTAAAGTGCTAAAGTGCTGGGATTACGGGCATGAGCTACTGTGCCTGGTTTTTTTTTTTTTTCTTTAAACCTTTTGCATTGTTACTCCTTAGACAGAACATCCCCAAGGCCGAGTTACCTCCAACAGCCAAAATATTATACTGTGTTTCAGAGCTTGTCCCCAGCAGAAGGTTGGTAGATTTCATTCTTGTGACAAATGCACACATAGCTACTACTATATACCAGGCAGCTGAGAGCACAGAATGAGCCTGGGAGTCAGACAGACAAGGGCTTAAATACTCACTCTGCAGTTGCCTAGCTGTGTGAACCCGGGCAAGTTACTTAACCTCTCTGAGCCTCAGAGTTCATTACTATAAATTTGGAAATCAAATTCTCATCATGAGGCTTTACTTATTAACATGTATTGGATGCACTGGGGAAGCAGGGGTAGTGAATTAGAGGCAGTCAATGCTAGTGTTGTTATGGGGGACACTGACTAAAATCACTTAAGTCTAAGATTGATTTCATTTCTTTTTAATTTTTAATTTTTTTTTTTAATTGAGACAGAGTCTCTTTCTGTTGCCCATGCTGGAGTACAGTGATGTGATCTCGGGTCACTGCAACCCCCACCTCCCAGGTTCAAGTGATTCTCCTGCCTCAGCCTCCCAAGGTAGCTGGGACTACAGGCACATGCCACCATGCCCAGCTAGTCATTTTTGTTTATTATTTTTTTGAGACTGAGTTTTGCCCAAGCTGGAGTGCAGTGGTGTGATCTCAGCTCACTGCAGGCTCTACCTTCCAGCTTCCAGCAATTTTCCTGCCTCACTCAGCCTCCCAAGTAGCCTGGATTACAGGCATGTGCCACCATGCCTGGCTAACTTTTATATTTTTGGAAGAGACAGAGTTTCACCATGTTGGCCAGGCTAGTCTCGAACTCCGGACCTCAGGTGATTCACTCACCTTGGCCTCCCAAAGTGCTGGAATTACAGGTGTGAGCCACCTCATCCAGGGATCATTCCCAAGTTTATATAAACACATCTAGGAAAGTATCCTAGATTTTAAAAATAAAAATAAATTCTGATGGTATCTATAGCACATTTAGCACAAACAAAGGTGTACCAGATACCAAAATTTGAAGAAAACTGAGTGGCAAAGGGAACCTTGAGTAAATTGGAGCTAGCAAAGAACATTCTTCTGAGAACTGGGAAAGCCCACCAAGATTCGTTTGATGGATTGACTGGACCCTCCCCTGAGAAACCCTGGACAAAATGACTCTCAGTGCATCCCTCAGCTCAAAGCCACCTTCTCTCCATGGCCCTGACCATGGGGAATGGCCCCTCAGATGAACAAAATCAAAGTTCTGGGCAGGGAAGAGCCAGAGGCAGATTCTCTAGCACCTGCCTCCCAGTTTTCCCATCTGTGAAATGGGGATGATACCAAAGTGAACAGTATGAAGGGGTAGGCTAAGCATATGCCTACTTTTTATTCTGCCAAAATCCCATGAAACAACACAAAAGGTTTAAAGAAAAAAAAAAAAAAGCCAGGCACAGTAGCTCATGCCTATAATCCCAGCACGTTAGCACTGTAGGAGGCTGAGGCAGAAACATTGTTTGAACTTGAACTTGATCTTTCAAGACCAGTCTGGGCAACAGTGAGACCCCATATCTACAAAAAATAAATAAATAAATAAAAAATAAAATAAAATAAAATAAAAAAATTAGCCAGATGTTGTGGCATGTGGTCACCTGTGGTCCCAGCTACAAAGGAGGCTAAGACAGGAGGATCACTTGAGCCCAGGAGGTCAAGGCTGCAGTGAGTTGTGTTTGTGCCACTGCACTCCAGCCTGGGCTACAGAGCAAGACCCTGTCACACACATGCACACACCCTATACTGAGAAGGCAGGAAAACAGATGAAATTACTGAGTCCATTGATGATATGGCCATTAGCCAGTCCCTCTAGAGTTTTTAAATCGCCACTTCCTTTACTACTTAGAACAATCCTCTAATGTAGATCATCAACTCCATCTTTCTATGAGGAAAGAGTCCCTGAGAGATTGAGCAACTCCTCCGCGGTTGTACTTCTAAGAGGGGTGCCTGCCACTCAAGTGCCTGGTGCCCATTAGCAGCTGGGGGGTAGCATCGATTCCTAGTCGGTCATGCCATGCTTCTGTCCCTGCAGCCTCTGCCCCTCCCTCGGGCCCAGCCACTCACACTTTGCGGTCATTCAGCAGCATCCCGTTCATGGTGTTGATGGCCTGCTGTGCGGCCTCATAGGTCTCAAAATGAACGAAGCCGAAACCGCGGGAGCCATGCTCGTCACACACCACCTGGGCCACAGGAAGGAAGGACAAGAAGAGTACTGACGGAGGGTTCAGGGAGAAAGGAATGGCAACGGTGACAGTGACCAGTCTCCACATGACTGCTGTCATGGAAAAGGCAATCCTGCATGTTAGGGATGGGAAATGGAAGCTCAGAGAGTGCCACCACTCAAGTTAACAGATTAAGGAAGGTTGGGCATGGTGGCTCATGCCTGTAATCCCAGCACTTTGGGAAGTGGAGGTGGGCATATCACTTGAGGTCAGGAGTTCGAGACCACCATGGGCAACATGGTGAAACCCTGTCTTTACTAAAAAGACAAAAAATTAGCCGGATGTGGTGGCAGGTGCCTATAATTCCAGCTACTCAGGAGGTGGAGGCAGGGGAATTGCTTGAACTCTGGGAAGCAGAGGTTGCAGTGAGCTGATATCGCATCACTGCACTCCGGCCTGGGTGAAGGAGTGAGACTGTGTCAAAAAAGAAAAAGAAAAAAGAAAAGAGAGAGAAAAGAAAAAAACAGATTTAAGAGATATTTAAGAGGGAGAAAACCATCACAATGAAGACACTTTTCATGTACACTGCATACCAGCTTTTAGTTGTCTTCCTAAAGCAATGGGCAAAAGGGTTAGATTCAAAACCCTCAAATCTGCATCCTTGTTTCTATCAGCAAACTAGAAACAACCTGAGAATTCATCAAGGGGGAGACTTGATGGTACATTCACGCTGGTCTACTCTATGTGCACGGTTGAAGAGAATGCGGTAGGTTACAAGGCTGACAGTCTCATTAGGTAAAGAAACAAAAATCCATTCAGGCTAAAGTAGGCATCTACCATTGGAAATTTTGAAAAGGACACACATAATATTTATTAATATTACTTTGGGGGACTAGGGTTGAAAGAGATGGAGGCTTCTTTTTCACTTTCTTCTCTTCCACATTGTTTAAACTTTGCCAATTCATGAATTACTGCAACAACAAACTCATTTCAATTTTATTTCCTTTTTTTGAGATGGAGTTTTGCTCTTGTTGCCCAGGCTGGAGTGCAATGGTGCAATCTCAGCCTCCCAGGTTCAAGTGATCCCTGCCTCAGCCTCCGAAGTAGCTAGAATTATAGGCACATGCCCCACCATGCCTGGCTAATTTTTTATATTTTTAGTAGAAACGGGGTTTCATCATGTTAGCCAGGCTGGTCTCAAACTCCTGACCTCAAGTGATCTGTCTGCCTTGGCTTCTCAAATTTTTTGTCTTTTTAGTAGAGACAGGGTTTCACCATGTCTGCTAGGCTGGTTTGGGAGTCCTGACCTCATGTGATCTACCTGCCTTGCCCTCCCAAAGTACTGGGATCACCAGCCATGAGCCACCATACCCAGCCTCAATCTCAATTTTTTTTAAAGAAGCACACCATCCTACTCCCATTCAGTAACCCTCCTGACTCAAGTCAGCAGGACAGAACCCGGGAACAGGGAAAGCCTTTCTAGTTCACATAGTCACCATCCCTCTTGTTGAACTTTGCAGAAAGACCACTAACCCCCACTTCAAGGTGACTGTGGCTACTGCCTCAGATCAGTGAGTGGCATTTTTCTGCCTCGATGACAACCACTATCCCCCAGCCTAGCTTCCACACTCCTACTACGATGCTCTTTCTAAAATGTAATTCTGACCACATCCCTCCAATCTCTAGTAGCTTCTATCCACAGAACTACATGACCTCCGCATTTGAGGCTCCTCAATGGGTCCTGCACAAGTCTTGCTTCCAAACTCGTGTCTCGCACTACCCCTCCACCTCTCATCTCCAAACAGGGTCCCTCCATCTTCAACTCAAGCCCCAGCTCTGCCATTTGGATTTAATCACATTGACTGGGTCCCCACTGTGGGTCAAGAACCTGCTAGGGACACCGCATACTTCCTTAGTTATCTATGCCATGAGAGTCCTTCCAGGCAATTCTGCACCTCTGAGCCCCAGAGGGAAGATGAGAATAAATGACTTGTGCAAGGCCAGCCAACAGAAGTAATTCTGTGGTTGTTACAGTGATCACTTAGAAGCTAAACAGTGCGCCAGGTGCCCTTTTAAGAAATATACATGTACACAGAAGATCTAACACACAGAAAGCCCATGATAAATCTGCCATTATTATTAAGAACTTCATACACAGTTAAGAGTCTCTTTCTTCCATTGATCCTCAAAGACAGGAAACAACCCTGTCTCTGTCACGGATAACCCTTAGCAGATTACAACATCTCCTCAAGTCTATCTGCTCCTCTGAGCCACAGGGATAGCCTTTTATTGACCAGGAATTTGAGAGCCCTCATTGAGGACTTAAGGATTATACTTGGCACACAGTAGCTTTTGATAAAAGTTCTGACACATAGGCCACCAAAACTGTCCCCATCCTCCCTAGAATAGCAGACACTACAAAGGCTATAGGGGAACGATCAACCATCCTCATAAAATCTAGAGGCTGAGCACCCAGGTTTAAGCCCTCTGTTCAGGACATGCTGTCATATGGCCGCTGATCCTCAACATCCTCATATAGAAAGTCAGAGAAATAATCAGAGTCCTTCTCAAATGATATGCATCCATTGGCTCAACAGATATTTATCAAGCACCTAATATGTGTCACATCTTATTCTAAGCATTGGGATGCAATAATGACTAAGAATAAGATCACTCATGGAACTTACATCTAATGTAAGACCTTAAAAACAAAGCTTCATCCCTTGATTGCCATCATGGCCCCAATTAATGGCCTTCCTGTAGCCACACTCTTCATCCTATCATTTCTCCTGCCCTCTCACTCTGAATATGGGCTGGTCTTGTGACTTGCTTTGGCCAATAGAATATAGTGAAAGTGGCCAGGTGTGGTGGCTCATGGCTGTAATCCCAGCTACTCCAGAAGCTGAGGCAGGAGAATCACTTGAACCCGGGAGGCTTGAACCCAGGTTCAAGCCTTCAAGGCTTGAGCCGAGATCATACCACTGCACTCCAGCCTGGGCAACAGAGTCAAACTCCATCTCAATTAAAAAAAAAAAAAAAAAAAAAAAAAAAAAGGGCCGGGCGCGGTGGCTCACGCCTGTAATCCCAGCACTTTGGGAGGCCGAGGCGGGTGGATCATGAAGTCGAGAGATCGAGACCATCCTGGTCAACATGGGGAAACCCCGTCTCTACTAAAAATACAAAAATTAGCTGGGCATGGTGGCACATGCCTGTAATCCCAGCTACTCAGGAGGCTGAGGCAGGAGAATTGCCTGAACCCAGGAGGCGGAGGTTGCGGTGAGCCGAGATCACGTCATTGCGCTCCAGCCTGGGTAACAAGAGCGAAACTCCGTCTCAAAAAAAAAAAAAAAAAAAAAAAGAACGTAGTGGAAGTGATGGTTCCAGTTCTGCATTTAGGTCTCAAGAGGCCCAATGTGCTTCCACTCTGTCTTCTGGGCCCCTGCCATTGCCATGAGACTAGCCTGGACTAGCCTGCCGGAGGACAAAAGAATGCAGGAGGAAAGCCGAGATGTTTCAGCGGACAGCCAGCCACTCCCTCGTATACCTAGTGAGAACCCAGCCAGGACCAGAAGAACTGCCCAGCTGAACTTAGCTCCCACTGCCAACTGGGAAATTATGAGCTAAATAATGATTGTTGCTGATGGCCACTAAATTTGAGGGTGGCTACACAGCAAGAGCTGACTGATACACAGGTAATCCCCGATCATTCATGAAAGATAAAACTGAAAAGAACAGCTACCATTCAAGTGCTTGCTGTACCTGAAACTTGACTGAAAGGACTCTGTAAACTGTAGAGTGAGGTGTTGCTTGTCATCCCTCTACCAGGCAGGTAGTTGACACTGATCCACCCAAAAAGGTTCACCTACCTTGCAAGAGAGGATGTTCCCAAAGGTGGAGAAGGTATCATACAAGGCCTTGTTGTCAATGGAGTCCTCCAGGTTCTTGATGAAGATGTTGCCCACACCTGACTTGCGAAGTCCTGGGTCTCTTTGGGACCACATGATGCGAATAGGCTGGCCTTTGAGCATCTCAAAGTTCATTGTGTCCAGTGCCCGCTCCGCTGGACAGAAGGAAGAGGAGCAAGTTAAGGGAATTGTCTTACCTTGACCCCTCACCCCCAAGGTGCTTAATTGGGAGCCAAAAAGAGAAAGTCATTGTCTGGGTCCCACCTGAGATAAAAGCCTGAAGCCTGAGAATTAATGTGTATGGTACGCCCCCCACCTTCCAGTTATTATCTCATTCAACTCCCTGCAGCCACATGGATTCCTTCCCCATTTTACAGATGGGAAAACTGAGACTAAGAAACCTGTAAGGTCTGTGGCAGTCAGGTCTATTCTGGCTTCTAAAGTACACTGAGTGGATAAGAATGTCTATATGACAAGGGGTGGCAGCACTTTGAGGAAATTAAAACTCAGAGGTGCTGCGGGGCAGAGCTGAGATTAGATCCCAAGCAGTCGGGCTCTTGGAAAAGTGAACATTACCTCTCTGAGCCTGTTCACTTGTAAAGGGGAATGATGATAATATTACCTACTTTTCCACACCTAGCGAAGGAAGATATTACAAACTACCTCCAGGTTGTTGGAGGGACTGAAAAATAGAGAAGGTGTGCAAGGTGCCTTGTAACTTTGTGCCTGACACCAAATATGCCTGTCTCAAAACAGCAGCTGATGCCCAGCCTCCAGCCACTGCTGCGGCCTGTGTCCCTCCCAGGTGACACATGTGACTTGTTTCAGGGAGTGTGCTAGCTGCAGAGACATGGCAGGGGGCTGTGGGGAACACAGTGGAGCAAGTTTCAGGAAGCCCGGCTTCTCCACCTAGTCCTGTCATAAACACCAGGGGCAAAACCCTTCTCTCTGCAGCACGGTTTCTACCTATGAAGGGGGGCAAAAAGGTCAAGTCCTACCCACATCATTCACAGGGCTTAGAGGAAGACAGGAAGAGGCAGGAGGTGGGCCAAAGCAAAGAGAAAGGCGCCCCAGGATCCAACTCAGTAACGGGTGGGGAACAGATCCCGCTGAACCCCTTCCCCAGCAAACCCTCCACTCAGGGAACCGATCAGTCCACCCAAGAGGCCTGGCGCAAGGGATCCCTCTAGTGGACTCGTCTGGGGCAGGTCTTTTTTGGGTGAGTTTCTGGAGTCTTATATCATAATGTTACCGCCACAATTTTTTTTTTTTTTTTTTTTTTGAGACTGGATTTCACTCTTGTCCCTGACTGGAGTGCAGTGGTGCGATCTCAGCTCACCACAACCTTCACCTCCCAGCTTCAAGTGATTCTCCTGCCTCAGCCTCCTGAGTAGCTGGGATTACAGGTGCCCGTCACCATGTACTTTTAGTAGAGATGGTGTTTCTCCATGTTGGTCAGGCTGGTCTCGAACTCCTGACTTCAAGTGATCTGCCTGCCTTGGCATCCCAAAGTGCTGGGATTACAGGAGTGAGCCACTGCGACTGGCTTTTTTTTTTTTTTTTTTTTTTGAGATGGAGTCTCACTCTGTGCCAGGCTTCAGTGCAGTGGCAGGATCTCAGCTCTCTGCAACCTCTGCCTCCGGGGTTCAAGCGATTCTCCTGCCTCCCGAGTAGCACATACCACCACACCCAGCTAATTAAAAATTTTTTTTTTATTTTTAGTAGAGACGGGGTTTCACCATGCTGGCCAGGATGGCCTCGATCTCTTGACCTCGTGATCCGCCTGTCTCAGCCTCTCAAAGTACTGGGATTACAGGCATGAGCCACTGCGCCCGGCCTTTTTTTTTTTTTTTTTTTTTTTTTTTTTTTTTTTTTGAGGTGGAGTCTCGCTCTGCCGCCCAGGCTGGAATGCAATGGTAAGGTCTCGGCTCACTGTAACCTCTGCCGCCGGGGTTCAAGCCACTCTCGTGCTTCAGCCCTCCCCAGAAGTTGGGATTACAGGCACATGCTATCACATCCATCTATGTATTTTTAGTAGAGATGGGGTTTCGCCATGTTGGCCAGGCTGGTCTCACACTCTGACCTCGTGATCCACCTGCCTCGGCCTCCCAAAGTTACAGGCGTGGGCCATCGCACCGGGCCTTATTTTTTTATTTTTTGGTTATCACTTAAAGAGCGTATACGAGGTACCAAGTAATACAAGAGATACTTCATATACACCAGCTCTCCATTCTTTATGCAATTGGGAAATAAGCCTTAGCCCCATTTTGCAGATTAAAGGGTGCAGAGGGTGAAGGCTTCCCCAAGCTCACACCCTAATGGCAGAACGCGCTTGAAGCCCGCTTCTCTGATCTTCATCCTCTCTACTCAACAGAAGTGCAGACAAACTCATCGGACAAGCTCTAATCAATCCTGTCAGCTCTGAGAAAGCGGCCTGGAGGCGGCAGTTTTTCAGAGCCAGTGCAGGTGGAAGCACCCAGTGTAGACCTTAGATCTCGCTGGGAAAGGGCTGGGCCCAAGGCTGGGATCTCCTAGCCTCCCCGCTCACCAGCTGTGTCGCCTTGGGCATCTTCCTCACCAGGTGCTTTGAATCTCTCATCCTCACAAGCACTCCATAATTAGGACCGCCATTTTCCAGACAGGCATCTGAAGCTCAGAATGGTCGAATAACTTGCCCAGAGTCTCACAGCTGCCGGACTTCTATCCCAGGTCCGCCTGACCCCTAAAGCCCGTAGCTGTTTTCACTCGACCCTAATCTCTGTCCTCTGTAGAGGAATAGCAGTAAACCACACGAACTGCCAATTCCCATCTCTAGGACCGGGTCTCTGCCAACGCCCTGTATCTTTGAGCCTCAGTTTCCCCAGCTGCAAAGTGTAAAATGAAAACGTGGCGGCCCAGTTCTGGCTTTTGTCTGCCCGCCTGCCTGTCCGTCGGTCCGTCCCCTCCCGCGCCACCCCCGGGACTCACCGTCGGCGGGCTGCTGGAAGTTGATGTAGGCGTAGCCCAGCGAGCGCCGGGTGGCCACATCGCGACACACGCGGATGGACAGGATGGAGCCGGCGGGAGAGAACTTCTCGTAGAGCATTGCCTCGGTCACGTCGGGGTGCAGATCGCCCACGTAGAGAGAGGCAAGCGGGTAGCCCGAGCCACTGGCGTTCATGGTGGGCAAGAGGCCGGGGCTGCAGGGCAAGCAGGAGCCGGGTCATCCAGCAGCCGCTCCACGCTCACCCGGGCGGGAGCCCTCCCTCCCAGGCGCGGGCCCGCCCCTTCCCTTTACCGCCCGCACGTCCCCTGCGCACCAATCGTGGGCGAGCTCGGGTGCCCCACCCTGGATCCCTCCTGGGCCCGCACCCCACCTGGGAGCGCTTGGGGATCTAAAAGCTACAGGTGGGGATACCTCTGACCCCGCCCTGGGAGGCGGGCAAAGCCTTCAACCTGGCCTTGAGCAGGGCTGCGTGGACTTGAGAGGAGCTCTCAAAACCCCCAGCAGTTTTGAAAGGGCCGAGGACTGGGACGGAAAGGACGCAGGGGGCTGGGTTCTAACCCTAGGTCATTGTCTTTGTGAACCCGTTTCTCTTCTCTGTAAAATGGGAACGACTCCCTCCTGACAAGGATGCAAGGAGACCCAGACCGTGCTTTTTGCGTTTCACATACAAACGGAATTCGGAACTGTTCGTACGTGAAACGCAAAAAGCACTGTTTCAAAGCTCGTGTAGAGCATTTTATCCTGCTCCATTAAAGATGTCTTCCTCCAAAGAGCCGGATCCAGTCCCACCGGAAATGACTTTCAGACGGACTGGAGGATCCTCGTGAGAACTGGGGACCAGTAAGGCCTTTCTTGGTAATGGCTCACATTATCAAGACCTCTTCCTGGGATATTCCCTGTCCCCCTAAGCCATTACACATCCATTACTCCAGGGAGGTTGACCGAGTTACTTGTGACTCAGCCTCAATGGGGACAGTTGGGAGCAAGACCTAAACGGAAGGAACACACTGTCAATCTGCGCTTGCAGCCTCAATCTATGTGGCATAAGGTGGTTAAAAACAAAAACAACTACTCCATTGTGCACCAATATTTGTCTTCCTCTGATAGAACTTTCCTGGTCTCACTGATGCAACAAAGTAGGTAGGCCCCCACTGACCTCCGAGTGTGGCTTCAACATGTGGAACAGCACCCAAACTAAGCACGGGAGCCCATCTGGCTGTACCAGCCTCAGAGCAGCAAAGCACCACCAATTCTAATCTTGAGCTAAAAATGACCCCTCTATCCTGATTTTTTTTTCTCTCCTTGTGGTAGTATGGATGTTTTCAGAAGGGGCAAATCTGGTGAGGAACCAGCTCTGCAGGCCACCATGCAGTGTGAAGGCAGGTGAGACAATAGCTTGGTGATGACCAAGCCTTATGCAACCATAGGTTACGTTTCACCGGCTTGGTTATTACACCAGGGTTACAAAATGGGGAAGGGGTAGGGGATTGAATGCCCGTACCAAATCTCAGAAGTCACTAAAGAGGACCTAACCTGCGTGGTTTGTTGCAGAAGGTAGAGAGGTATCAAGAAACGAGTGGAAAGAGGCTGTTTAATTAATGGTAATTTCTTCCCCTTTATAACACTTTGACTTCTGGTTCTAAATAATGAAATAAAAACTATTTACCTATTTTTAAAGAGAGCCAAAAATAAGTGTGATCAGAATAGTTAGCTAGGTCTGGTAGCAACAGAGGTGGTGGTGACACATCAATTCACAGGCAACTAACTGATAAAATTTTTATTTCACTTTTGAATTTTTACATTTTTCCTGATTATTCTGTGTAAGGTGAAACTAGAACTGTTTAAAAGACATACACAAATCTAGTACATCAATAACCGGGGATTTTTCTTTTTTTGCTATACTATTTTCACAACCACGGGTGTGCTTGCTAGGCAATATAACCATCACAGAAGCAAACATTAGGCAGAATACTGGTAAGGAAAAACAAAGCAAGAAAAGAGCTACCAGATATACAGACAGGCTTGGTTCCACATTCACTACTGCATTTTCAAGCGCCAAGTATTAACTGCACATTTTTGTTCAGCTAGGAGGGATTTTTTTTTCTTTTTTTTTTTGGTTTTAAATCAGTGCATGAATGTTTCTTTTCTCATTTCAGCAGATGGACAAACAGATGGACTCTACAGCTAGGTGGAATATTAAAGGTAGAGGGGTGATACTGTGAGACTGATAGGCCTGACTATTTCCAATTCTCTCCACGGCAGTGTCCACATAACTTCCCTAAATATAGGGTCTCCTTAAAACACATCTGAGAGCTGAGCTGAATGAGCGCACTTGGGAAACCTGGTGACAGGCACTAAAAAGCATGATCCGCGCCAGCCTCAATATAGGGAGAAATCATGGATATTTAAAAATACTTTTTTGATTCAGATCCTGGTATGACTGAAGAGCAACACTGTGTTGAGAACTGGAGGAAGACTGCTCTGGTGCCAGAAGCTCTTCTCAATCTTTAAAGCCAGGCTTGCTCACCAAGGTGCTCTGTAAAGTCTCTTACCCCTGCCCATATATAGCATTAAAAAGTGAACAAAAGACAGATAAAGATAGAATTCAAAACGGAAAAAAAAGCAGAGGGACAGAAACTAAGGAGAGAAGAGAAAACCAAAGTCAACAGTCAAAAAGGATGGTGGGAAAGAATGTTTAGATTTAAAAATGTAAAAGCCCCGAGCTACAAAGAACCTGAAAACTGAGAGTACTCCTCAAGTGAAAGGCAATCTCTACAGAACGTCATTCCTTTTTTTTTTTTTTTTTTTTTGGAGATGAGGTCTCGCTATGTTGCCCAGGCTGGAGTGCAGTTATTCACAGGTGCAACCATAGGGTACTGCAGCCTTAAACTCCTGGGCTTGGCGATCCTCCTGCCTCAGCCTCCCGAGCAGTTGTGACTACATACATGCACCACCATGCCTGACTCAGAACATTATTTTTAAAGGTATTAACCAGGAAACAGATAAGGTCACTCATAAAACACACGGCTTTTTTTCTTGAGCTCAGTGTTAACAATGAAAAGAGATTCCACTATTGAAGCACAAGTTGCAAACTGGTAACACAGTGAACAAACTGCTGTAGAAAAAGGGGTTTAGTCAGGTGTGTTATGTGAGCACTTGAACTTTTCAAGGTGTCATAAGCCAGTTATCTGCCACAGAGAATTTCAATTTCAGGATTCAAGTTTCCTCGGAGGAAGTCACTGTGGATATTTGTGGTCATGAACTTTTGAGTGGCAACAGCCCCAACAGGTCAAGTGTCTTTAAGCTCCAAACAACAGGCAGCATTACTGTGAATTACCATTAAACTCAAATGCCAGGTGATGTGTGTCTCACTCCAAGTTCCAGCATCACAATATAATCTCTATAACTTTCTGTACAACTTTACAATGGAATTATCTATTTCAATGATTATTTTGACATCAGATTAAACTTTCCAAAAAGTTACACATAATTCGGGTCTATTTTTTCTACCAGTAAGAGTTCCGCTAAATTACAAAACCCCATAATCACAGTGTTCAGTTTAAAAAAAAAAAAAATTAAAACACACAGTAATCCTGTCAAATGTTAATCAAAATCAAAACTTCAGAATGCCGTGGCATTTATGTGACCAATCTGAGTTTTAGATACAAATACCAGCTGTTTATCCCATGAACCATTTTTGCTAGGCTGAGGCTGTGAAAAATCGAAAGTCAACATACAATTTTTTTTTTTTTTTATCGCACAAGGGATATGTGTGGAGGGTACAGAGTGACACTGAACAGATCACGAAGCATGAGAAACATTAGTTCTCTCCCTCCCCAGCGTCTCCTTCGTCTCCCTGGTTTTCCGATGTCCACAGCTGCAAGAGAAAGAAAGCATAATCAAAGCAGGGCTACTAAAAGTTGCCTAGGTAGGCAGCCCAGTATGTATAATGTTATCCAACTCAAAGGTTTAAAATTATTCCTGTGCCACTGCAGGGATGACTGCAAAGGTCAAAACTTCAGCAGTCATTTATAGCCAATTTAACAACTTAAAACCGTAACTATATTTAACAGGGTACAAATCCCCTCTTGAAGATAATAGTAAATTATTAAGTAGGTGAATAGGAAAAAGACTATAAACCCTGTGGAAGTAGTACTTACAGTGAGATTGTCCCTAAGTAACTGCATAATCAGAGTGCTGTCTTTATAGGACTCTTCATTCAGTGTATCCAATTCAGCAATTGCTTCATCAAATGCCTAAAACAAAGAGCCTTTAGCAAAGAATTCACAAGTTTTCTGGAGCTAGTTAGCCCTTTTTTTTTTTTTTTTTTTTTTTTTGCTAAGTGAATTTCTCTTCTTGTACAGTACTTTGGAGGAACCCAGGCTACTATTACCCTGTTTGTTAGCCATTTCCAGCAAAAGTATAACGCATGTTTATAAAGCACCAACCAATGACAGAAATTCCTAGATAAGAACTTTGCTATACCTAATAAGTAAGCAATATTACTGCTAACCCTAGCACAGTCATTCTGGGTAAACTTGTGATTTTTTAATTACCAAAGACATTTCTAGCAATGTACTATTTAAATCATTTTTTTTTTAACTAGAACTAAAAAGGTCGGGATACAAGGGATAAAATAAACCTCACATCACTAAATCTGATTAGATTAAGTTATGAAACTTTAAGGCACCTTTTCCAAATAAAATTTTTTAAAAATAATTGTGTACATTTTGAGAGAATACAAAAAATATGCAAAAAAGGCCAAAGAAGAATATAGGAGGTAATCTAGCACACAACAAGAATGTGACGTGTATTTCTTTTATACAGCCATAACCTCAAATCTTGGTACAAGAATGACAAGGTATAACCAAGGCCCAAAGCTTGGTAAGAAACAACAAACTGGCTGGGATCACACCTGTAATCCGAGCACTTTAGTGGGCTGAGGATCACCTGAGGTCGGAGTTTGAGATCAGCCTGACCAACATAGTGAAATCCCATCTCTACTAAAAATACAAAGTTACTCGGGCATGGTGGCGCATGACTGTAATCCCAGCTACTCGGGAGGCGGAGGCAGGAGAATCACCTGAACCCGGAAGGCAGAGGATGCAGTAAGCCGAGACGCACCACTGCACTCCAGCCTGGACAACAAGAGCAAAACTCCGTCTCAAAAAAAAAAAAAAAAAGAAACAACAAACTACATTCACCTGGAACTTTCTACAACCACCTCCCCCCAAAATAGTAATCAAACAAAAGTCAGCA